TCAGTTATTAAATCTATAAAATAACCGACGTCAGTCTTGACACAGATCTGTAAATAAGATGCTTATTTCCTAGCATCACAGACGGAGTGTTTTTCTTACCGAAAAGTATTACCTTTGTATTGTCGTCCATAAGCAGCAGTTCAACGAAACGACGAAGCGAAATTGAACATACGTGCATGCCTTCAATGGACCTCACCTACAAGTCGGGCGCCTACGCTTCGTGCGAAGTGTCCATACAAAAAATGGTTTAACTTCAACGCAGCAATAACAACGATAGCCTGTTCGATAAAAAGAAAACTTTACCCTGGACAATACATATTACACACAGATAATTTTTTCTCTCGTTGTGGAATTTTACTTAACAGACGCGTCTCTTTTAGACTAGTTCAAAATAAGTTACATGGAATAGCTGGGTAAATTAATTTATTATTATACTTTAATATAATGGTAATCTTACGCTTATTTGGTCAAGTACTTATAGCATAGATCTTAGACAATAGTTTGCATTGAACCACTTCTTGGACAAGACACAGTACGATGTTTACTTAGAACATTCTGTTTCGTACCGTATCGGCCATTAAAGCATAAATTCGTCTTCAGTTTCGCTGAAACAGAAGCAAACATTTGGCTGTTTGGTACGCACAAAGCTTTGTTAGCAACAGCTCGATCACCACGGTATGATAACTCGGACATGTTGATGGCCATGACGAAACACACGGTACGACTAACTATTAGTGAGTTTTAGCATTTTGAAAATGATCGCCAACACGAAAAGGTCCCACTGTTCAATTGGAAACGCTCTTCCGGTATCGATCGTTATCGCAACATAATACAGTACGCAGAAGTAAATTTCTCCAGGCTCGAGCGGATGGTCAGGACATTTCCTTCCTTTTCTGTCAACTGCTTTAAACTCGAGGCCCAATGTCAGGGAAAGCAGTGACACTGTTAAAAAGAAACAAGCTTGTTGCAAACACGTTTTAAAATAATTACGCGTCAACAAGGTGCTACACATAAATCTAATTGTTTCATTCTATTGACAGTACTTCCTACGTCCTCATGTCAGCCGGGTAAGTCAGAAGGAAGCCATGGCAAGTAGCCCATTTTTGAACGTTAACACTAAAAACTCCAACTGCTAAATACGTCTTATGTAAAGCACACACAGATATGGCCGAGTCGTTAGTATGGTTTTAAATTAAATTTAGTGAACTTGCGGTTTTTTCCTTTTTTTTTTTTTTTCATATGTACTATAACGCATGCATTTCTTATTGATCATTCTATGAGATAGAAATAGGTGACGACAAAACCTCATCCTGAGTTGAACATAAGGTATTACCTTATATCTTATGGTCAGTACTTATATTTTTAGGCTGTACTCAAGCACCATGCCAAAACTTTTGCCAAAACTTTTCAGCTTTTGCATTAATTGAATCAAATGCACAGGCGACATATCAACCTAATTTAGTCACCTAGCCATGCGCAATCCGCTCTCGAACACGCAATTTTCCTGTAGTGTCAATCATGCAGCGTTCAGCTGATGCGCGATTTAGCAGGTTCTTCTTCCGCTATTTCAATTTTTTACTGAAATTTTTAACTGTCTAAGAAGCTGAGTAAGTACACAGGTCATCTAATCATTTCTAAAATCTTTTCCTAAAAAAGGATTAAATCTGACCTGGAGGTAGATATTGAAGACAACCGAAAATTATTTGAAAAGTTAGGCAACGTTCATATCTTTTTTTTTTTTTTTAAATCAAATCTTGTCATAATTATTGAAAGAATTACCTGAAATACTGACTCGATAGTATGATGCATGGGGATTTCTTTGCATTTTACGCAAGAGAAAAAGTCCCCATAGACACTCCTTTCAGACATGCCGTTTACATCATGGCGTCGTATACTAAAGATAAATCTCTCGATAAAATAAATAATAAGGTACATTTATGCAAACACACGTAAGACAAGAATACAAATGCTTATTCGTGTGAATCGACTATTTTTTTTTTGTCGTTATAATATCTATTGCTTTTCACGCATATTGCGCTCTATCAGAAGTATCTAAGCTGCGATTTTCATCTCACAAACTTGTTTTACAGAACATCGTTTCTACAAGTGTCGAATTTTCCCAATGGAGTCTCTGATCATCTGAGTTTGTTATGCATAGAAACAATACAGTTGGCAAAAATAGGCGCGAGAATAAAATTCAAATACACCGAAATAGACTATGCTTACGGGCAGAAGGTCGCAGTCTCAATAGTCCTTAACGAATCAGAAAATGTCAAAAAAATAAATAGCAGCAGCTGAACGCACACGTCAATGAAGTATAATAAAAAGGGGATAAATGAAAACAACTGATCGACAACAGTATAGTTTATTATGGAGGAAGGGTGTTATAGATTTGACTAGCGGACTATTATCTACAGAAAAGATAAACCGATACAATTACTGAAAATACGGCCCTGTAATATCGATCATCAAACAGAACCTCAGGGGAGTTAGCGTAACTAGCAGAGAGAATGATCCCTGGCCGTCTATGACGTTGGACGTCTCGTAAATGCGGTCGCCATTAAACAGAAGCTATACAACATTGAGAATGGCGGCATAGCTATTAGTCGTATTGTTTGAAGCCGAAACCTGCTCAACTTCGCAGGTAGTTGGATCCAACTCAATACTGCTATTCAGAAATATTACGGCACGAGAAAAAAGTGGCAATAATAATGCCTACATAAAACTAATTCAGTATTAGGTCACGACCTATAGCGACTATACGTTCATATCTTACCAGCTGCTTGCTCTAATGCCGTGCACCAAAGTGACATGTTCCAGCATGTCTATTTTTCGTCGGCTCATAAAGAGGTTTCAATAAAAAAAAGAAAGAACGAAAAAAAAGCAACCATAGAAATTTGCAGATGCTTTCCAAATGGTATGGTTAAGAAGTGAGCTATAGAAAGCTAAGCTAGGTTTCCTTTCGAAACCTAAGGCTCATCTTGACCTTTCGAAATTGATAAATACAAATTATCCCAGCGCAAAGCCTGTGGAAGCTCGAAACGTAAGCTATTCATTTGAACAGCTCATATCATATGTCTTCATTATGATGATACTAAATGAGCTGTTCAGATACATACAGACTGTTGGTGACGATTGTACATGAGTGTTGTACGAGAATATCTAGGTATGCAGGTGTACAATTGAACGTACGCTCGGATGTGCCCAAACGCAGGGCCAGTTAGACAGGACAGGGCCTTCTGCAACTACGCGTGCAGCGACGCAATTATGCTTCACTACTGTATTAGTGGATATACTATGATAGCGGCATCTTTTTACCGCCAATAACGATGATTCGCTTTTAAGCAAGAGTATATAATGAATTCGTATCTCGTGATTTTCGCAGGTCATCATTCAGCATAGCGCGATCCTGATTCATCGGATTCAACAAAAGTGGGTGTCAACGCTTACAGCTAATATTACAGTGTTTCGAGTGGTTAAACGCGTTTAATAAGCGAATCTACTGACTTGCAGGACCGCCTAACATTTAATTTCGCAGTCGAGCTAACTTACCTCGAGTCGTCTGGCATATATATACACAAACAAACTGCTCATAAGACCTTTTTTTTTGCAATATTATGCAACATATAGGGACGTGTAGGTTGTAGGAACTTTATGGACAAAAGGAACTTGACATGACGCGTACAGCACGCCGTTTTCCAACTGCCTTGATCCCCTATAACTTTCAAAAACCGCTTTTACACCCCTTAATCGCTTTTTGCCGTTCATTGAAATTGACTTGAGTAGTTATGGACCCAGCTCGTTTTCGAACAGCAAACGATCTGCCAGAATGCGCTGGTGATGGATATCGAAGACAACAACGACGGAATCGACGCAGCTCTGGCGCACCCTTACGAGCTGCGCCTGGCACGATTTTCCCGGTTGCAAGATACTGGAGACCCGCTGCTGTTCGAGGTGGTCATAGAGGCTCTCTTTTGCACAACCGTACCAATCCGGCTTCACGAGCGAAACCTTTTGTCAGAAGTGCGAACGCCTATCTGATTGGCAGAAACATAAATGTCTTCAACAGACATAGGGGAACAGGGCTCGAGCGAAGGTTTTCGCATGGACGATTTGCGCGGGTTAATTATAGGAGGTCGACAAGGGGTGGCGCATCGTCTAGACGCAACCAAAGGCCAGCTGATACAAGGAATACTTTGGTATTTTGGCAAAATGTAGCGCCAGTTGCTGGGGGCGATAGTAACCAAGCGCATGAGCCGCCATTCAACGCATTGCGAAGACGACCGATAAGCCCACTAACACGTTTCGGTGTGGGAATGACCCGATTTCGATTAGGCAATGGCATCGGCCCATCGCGAACTGTTCAGTTCAATCAAGATCCGACACCCCTATCGAATGAGGAGGCGCTGCCAACCCGGGCGCAGTTCTATGGCAATGGTCCGGCCGGTGGAGATGTAAGTTCTGACGACAATCTTGACTGGACAAACTAACCTAGCCTGAAGCTAATCAAAAAAGGAAAAAAAGTCTTGACTTTTCTTCTGTTTTCTATAAATTCACTAGTTTTTGCTTTGCCGTAGTCTTTTCTCGCCAGTTTTTTTCTTTTTTTTTTCGCAAGTGCAACTTCGCCTTCGCAGATGCTCCAGCTTTTTAGTCTACACATTCGCACAAAGGTACACAGTAATCAGGTTGTTTGTGTTCACTGGCCTAAAAAACAACCAAAACAGGGATTAAAAAAACCCACGTTAAATTGGCCAATGTCTGCGATTGATTTGTTTTTAAAATAAACAAAGGCGCGTGCGCGTGTAATTGATAACCGATCACTGGAGAGCGATATTTATGAAAATAAAATAAGCCATACTTTAACCGATCACTGGAAAGCGATATTTATGAAAATAAAATAAGCCATACTGGTTGTAAGTAGTCAATAGCTAAATCAATAACTAACTAAGTAGTAACTTAACCGTGACAATTATATGTGTTGGTTAGACGAAAAAGACTAAATCATCATACCGCAATAAATACGGAAGTATTGCCAAATCAACCAGCAGAAAGCGTATTGAGAGACCCTCGCGTTATCGTTTGTTATTCTTGCATGTCGACAAACTGCCGCGCAAACATATGCCTCTTAAACACTTCGCCGAGCCTTCTATTCCATAGAATTATACAAGATGAGTCATCTCGATAATGGGAATACTAAACCTGACGCTAAGCATTCAGCAGTGTATTATTTTGTACGTTCGGTTGACGAACCGACCGCCGCTAAATTATCGATTTAAGGTGAATACTTTCTTCGTCACTCGAGACGAGGGGGTGCTCGAACATCAACCAACATCGATGGCTGGATAATATCAACATCTCTGCTTACAACTGTCTCTCTTTTTTGTTTGCCTTTTTGTTTTTTTTTTTTTGTTTCGCTGTTTAGCGAGCGTAGATATATGCGCTACCCGTCAAACGTTCGTTACGGTGACCTTTGGCGTCGACCAAACACCACCGCTGACCGTAGCAGAGTTGACCGGGCGGCTGGAGCGACGCGCACTGTCGGTAGAGCTCGCGTCAATTCGTTTTTTTGCGAGCTACGTAAAAACGAGTCAGTTGAACCCTTTCTGCAGACGGGCGTTTGTTATTCTAAAACTGAGAGATTAATAGTAAATGTAACGATATCGTTATTCGACTAGACCTTGATAGACCGGTGGACGGCTTAGTAGCAGCTGAGCAACGGGGGAGTTGGCCTAATCTCTACGTTGGCATGGAACTGATGCCTCTAGACTGCTGTGATGTTACGCAACGAGTGTCTCTAGGATAGATTGTTATATTCGTGTGTGTTTACAATATTGCGGTGAATTTCTTCGCGATCTGTATACTTGCTGGATTGCGCGTCAGACCAAATTGTCTTTAGTGGAAACAGTGATCTTAGTATGAAGTTTGCTCAATATATTACTTAATCAACTAACTTTGGTTCCATGTTTAAGTCAGGACGAAGCTCTGACATATAGAATTAAGCATTCCATACACCAGGAATATAGGAAAAGGATCACCAGAGATCTGCCCACAATGGAGGATGAAACGCACGAACCGCAACAGGAACTGGCCGACTTCGAGAGACGTCTGGAAGATATTGAAAATCGTCTCTTGGAACTACAGCAACGCCAGGTGAAAATGTCAGATACGCCCAATAGTGAAACGCAAATCTTGACTCTCAAGTGGACTTGTAACACAGGTGTTCAGGACCCATTAGCAAGTGTCGGGGGTTCGCTCCTGGGGGTCAAGTTCAAACTATTGCTAGATCGTAACATGCTTTATATTGACGTAATCAACATCAACGATCTACTTCGCGGTACATTTTGCAAAAAGTTTGATGTGACCGTTCTGCATCCGCTGGGCGGCGCGTACATAAAGCGTAGTCAAAAAATTATAAGTAACAAAAAATTGTTCAAACATCAGCGACTACTTGTCCTAAATTCATCGAATTATTTCGACACATTGGTCCGTCAAGAACTTGACATACAAGTTTCCGTTAAAGATTATACGTCACCGCTTACCATTTTCGATCGTGTGAAGCAATATTGTTTTCCCGGGTCGACGACGCCTGTCCCAATCAGTTCTCAGGAACAAGAAAGTGATTAAAGTGTAAATCTGCCGCTCCTTCCAATCACAGTATTGTACAACAATTTAATAGAGATCCAGTGTGACATTGAAGATGAGTAGGTACTTGGAGAAATGGGGTCTAACCATTGAAGTTAGGCCTTGTACTCGGCCACCCACACGGCCTTTGCCCTGGTGAGGCTTGTAAAAGTATCACGAAACTCCCGCTCAAAGAAATCGAACCTAGTATACTAAATGCATCGCTGCCTCTCGGCCGTTGCAGTAGTGGATGGACGAGTTCCTTGAATAGTGTAACTCAATATGTCATATTTTGATAAATGCATTTGATAAATGCACGAGTGACAAGTCGAACTCGAGCTAATAAAACAATATGCCTGACATACCTTTTTTAAATTATCCCTAAGTTTGCAGAATTATTAAATAATTATGTGTATTACTAACTATAGTGATATTAATAAATATTTAGTTATTACCGGAACATCTTAAATATCTTTCTTATTACTGAATTCCCGAGATATTATATTTAATGAAGACCTGCACACTGGATCACAACAGATGTGTATGCCGACTAGATATTACAAGTGTTCCTTCTCTACCATAATTAAGAAAGAAATTATAGAAATAGAAGAACTGTGGTTCTTTGGACTTCCTACGCTACCTACCATTCTTAGCAAAACAGAACTGGCCAAAAGTTGTAGTATTTAATTCACAACTTCTCCGATACATAAATTAGTGCGTTCCAGCAAAAAAAAAAAACGTTATTTTCATCCATTTTATCACACGTTTTATTCTCTAAATTTATATCTACAAGAACAACTCAACTTTCCGGTAATGATCTTGCGCTGTCTCAGGCAGGAACTTCAATGGAGTTGTTCGTGTCAACAAGCGCCAACCCAGTCAACCTAGGTCGAGATGATAGCGCGACTTTTAGAAATAGACCAAAGCTTCCAAATGTCTTACCTTTAAGGGTGGTGATTAGTTGTGTTTTTCTATGAGGTAATTAGATTATTAGATAGGCGCCTGAGTATTAAGGGATTGCAACTTTTTGTTTGTCGTAGACCTTGTGATCATCAGGTCCTTTTTGCGTCTATTAACAGTTTTCGTATAGTTTACCTGATGTTTGCTCGTGTAATGACTTCCGGTGTCACATTGTCAAAAACGTTCAGCCTTTTACTGGTTCAATCTATCTGAAGAGTTCTATGTTTGAAAACATCAATGCTAACATTGGAAAAATTCTATTAGACGGCAATAGTCCAACAATAATAATGCCGTGTGTTCCTTACGCGTATAGACAGAAGCATAGCCAAGTGGGTCAGTTTAGGCATCTCTATAAGCCCGTTAAACCTATTTGTTTTCAAAATTTCCTATAGGTTGACCGTTACATATATGTATATATATATATATATGTTTGCGGTGGAAGTACCGACAGTTAATGGACTAAGTAAATGGGTTGGGCAACGAAAAAGATAATCTATATACATAATAATAATAATAATAATAATAGTATTAAATCCATCTTGGAACAAACATAAAATGTATATGACTGTTTACAACAGAGGTCTGATATAAAATTGGCTCAGCTCAACGTATCGACTGGAGCGAGACGCTTCCCGTTACTTAGTGTATATATATATACATAGCATAGACGCTACACATCCCGTATATTTATGAACAAATAGCAATAGAGCGCTTTACAAGCTCTTGTCTACCTATCAAAAGAAAGTACATCTAGAGAAAATAATTCTTCTAGTTATTAAGGCGTCGTACGCGACGATGAGCTCGGTTTGCTGAGCTATGGAACTTGCCCCCTACGTTTTAAGCTCTGCTATAAAAACGATTTCGTTTTAGTTCTACTTAAACATATACACCGTTGAAATAATTTGATACGACAGCATATCGGTTGAAACAATCAACTGTTATCGACAGTCGTTTACCTACGTGCCGCATATAGATTGTAGCAGGAAACCGTCGAAGAGCCTTCTCAACATACTGGCGAAAGGCTGAATATTTAAAGCGGGCGTGTTCTCTAGAAATATGGGACACATACTAATTGTTTACGAGCACCTCTAGTCGACTCGTAAGAGATGATAATTTGTTGTTAAATTGTTGTATATAAATAAATAAAGCTTGTTAATTATACTCTGTTATTCGTGACCGCCGTCAGTTTAATAAGTATCACAGTTTTTCGCCTGCTGGTTTACTTCGACGTGTTGAAATTATTCCGTTAGAGCTGCATTACCGTTAACACCAAGTTGGGCCCATGTGAGAAACACCGTTTTTTTTTTAACAGCACCGCATGAGAGACTGTATTTCAATTGAATTGATTTCAAAACTGTGTTAATTTAATTGTATGACGAGCACCTTGTTATTATAAAAAAAATGCATATAACATGAGAAACTTAGATGCGTAACAAACAATATAATAGCTAAACATAATGCGTAAAACAGAGCCTCCACTACTATTATTATGTTTCATGCAACTCTATGCTGAAATAATATTGTATCTATGAGAAGAAATCCATCTAAATGTGTCCTCGGGGTAAACTGTGCTCAAATTTTTCCGTGTGGAAATACCTATTACCTAGAATAGATTAAAAAACCTACCTATTATGCTTTTAGAAATGTGTGCACTTGTCGGGCCCGAAGCTATTTTTCAGAGCACTCGAACTGACTCAGTCTTTTATGGGACGCTCTAAATGTATTCCGGGCCGATACTAGCATTCCACAAAAAGAAAATTTGATTTTTCGCTGTGGAGTGTAATGTTCATTTGACGTTTGAACACGGCATCGCATTAACGTTGAGAAATCGACCTCGTACAGATGTCACAGCCGCTAAGATGCTGGTTTAAATCTTGATGTAAATATTTATGAGGCTCACTGAATAACGTGCTTTTTTTTTTTGACAACGAATTCTATGTAGATGAGCGAAGGATCTTTGTTCCCAATCGAAAATTGCCGATAAAACTAGGTGAACGTACGTTTTCATGCTGAAAGACAGGACGGAAGCAACAATAGCAGTGTCATTGTTATTGATATCGATGGTGTTTAGATATGGCACCGTAGCCGCTACACCGCTGTTAAACAACAGCGTCATAATATAAGCCACAAGCAAATTGTATACGTCTTAATATACCGTGCAGTTCAGTCGAATCATTTCCCGCCATAATCAATGTGGCTATTAGCAGCAATTAAGCATTGGTCCAACTAAGGCACTATTTAAATTATCCGCCCAATTACAGTGGCCATCGTTACAGTTACTGTAGAATAGACGGACTGCATTATTTGTCGTTAACAAGCAGACCAGGCGAGTTCCTTTGTTCTCTTCTCTATCTCGCTTCATTTTGGCGGCTGCTTTTAACTATGACCGTGTCGGCGTTTTATGAACACCGACAAACTATTTATACCATTGATTAAGTTTGAAGAAAATAGGGTACTTTTTTTGTAGGGATTCACTGAAGTTTCATGCAGAATGAAAACGACGATAGGTATAGAGCACATCGCATACAGAATAAAATTGCAGAACTAATTACTAGAGTACGAAACAAACCTACGGAAAAATGCCTTAGCCGATGTTGACATGATAAAGAAATTTGCTGTTAGTTTGAATGAGGGCAAACTGGCTTTGTACGTAGGCAAAGAAATCGATCGACAGCTTTGCGTGGACAATACACCAACAGCTACTACACGTATTAGACAATATAATTCTCTATTGCAGGTAACTTCCTCTGCTAGGCAGCGGCCTGTGCTCTATTAGCAGCTTCTTAGTCGACAAACAGTAAATGTAAGGAATATGATTCCGATATCCGGGGCCAAAGAGAGGCAGGCCAATTTCATGCAGCCTTCGTGCGTTACATCAGAGGAAGGCTCTCTTTACGACATACCTGGCCAAACTAATCAAAATACTGCAGAGAAATTGGATTTAGAGAGAACAATAGAGACCAGGAGGATAGTTTTGTCAACAAAATCATTCACAAACAGGTCAGAAATGATTTTCTCTCGATATTAATGGTCAGCTCGGGCTCCGCGGAGCAATGTTTGAGCAAGAGGTGCATGTTTCCAGAGAAAAAGGAAATGTACTAGGCGGCGCTCGGCAATCAACCTTGGGGTCTCGGCTTGTGAAAGCGGTACAAGCGGAGGCGCGATGTGTGGGTCGTTGACCAGTGTCGGCCTTCAGATAAATAACTGGTCGTCTTCTGGTCATTTACAGTATTACACACAATCATGAATGCATATATAGGTACGGTTTAGAATTATGGTGATTATCATTACAGTCGCGATTGTCGAGCACAATGATAATCTGGAAATTCTGTATCACTGTGTAACGCTGAAGAAGGTACGGTGAGCACGATGGAAAATTTAGTGCATTTTGCTTATGGCTGGACTCCACATTATGTCTGAGTTCAGTGGTTTAAAGTTTATCGGTTATTTGTATTGATTATTACTATCGACTTTTTGTCGTGTATTCTTATTCTTCTAATTTTCTTTTATAACCTTCCTGGCTTTTGAATCAAAAACACATAGAATGCCTGCTTTTTTCCACAATCTCCGTAGGCGTCAGATCATCAATATTATGGCACGACAGCCTACTCTTCACATTTTTGGTTCTCATGTTGATTGCGCTTTTGCTACTCATCGGGATGAAACTGAAGCTTTAATACCCCACACACACACACGTCGTTTTTGTCGTATTGGACGTTTTAAGGGCTACTTCTATGCTTTAGTTCGAGCCTTTTTCTTTATCCTGCTCCTCACTTAGTCATCTGCACCTCGAAATGATCTCAATTTTTATCCCTGCCTCTTCTTCCCCGAGTTCCGTGATCCTGCTGACGACCGCTGTCGTCTTACCACCGTCGAACAGCCACTACTAACAAAAACGCCTTCAATCTTCTTGATGATTGATGACTTTTTTTATGCGCCCGCCGCTGCGAATAGCATCTGCATTTGCCTCGACACCCGATGCATTGGCTTCTTCACGTTGTAGTATCGAAAAAGTCCCATTTCACTTGGATTATATTATTTGTTTTATACAAAATCGGTGCTAAATGTTTAAAAATGCATTTGCATCTTATTTAATGCATGAACTTTAAAGCACTGTGCGATCAACCAGGTATACGTACATACTTATGACCCACTGAAACATATTTTCTGTAATTTTTTGAATCTGATTCCAATTAGTGGTATGGGCTCTCTGCAGTGTTCGTAGGGGTATCTGTGAGTTCATCCTTGCCCTTCCTCTTTATCAAATATACAATCGAGTGCCAATCGTATAAAGCTACCTAAACACTTGACAAATCGTCGAATTCGATCGACGATAGTTCCGCACCCCAACTAATAATCTACGTGCAAATGTAATGATAGCACATATGACGACACTGTCGTTAGATAAGAATTATTTCAACTTCTTTAGAAAGCTGGTACCACGATATGTATGAACATTCAAACCATACGCACAACTCAAGTATCCGATTCAGCCTTCTGTTTATCGAGAGATATAGATGATCTATAAGATGTATATATCTTATACAATCTTATCTTGACAATTGTCGTTTCTCAGATTTGACAGCGACGTTGCTATAGAAACTGATAATCTTTAACCGAATTTTAGTGATTTTGGTGGCTATTGCCTACGCATGAACTCGTAATGGGATAACTGAAAAACTTCATGGGAAACCAGCGGACTCTATAGCCAGTTCCACGGAAAAGAAGAGCGATCGTAAAGATAAATTGCTGAATGGAGTGGAATAAAAGTAAAGGGCTGACCTTTTCATAGTCCAGAAGGTAAAGCGTACAGTGCTTCTGTTATCAAGCGAAATGGGAAACAAGAGATCGAAGACACTACAAACTGCAACTAGGAGACAGGATAATCCTCAACAAGCTACGAATGAACCGATTAGTTACGGTTTCTTAACTTCAGTAAAAGGTTGGGGAGCGCGGAGTTTCTGTATAGGCATACTACGCTTTACTGGCTGGATTATGGGAAAACAAATCATCAAGACGAAAATGCTGTTCAGGTACAAGAATAGTTGTCAGAGGGGAACCGTTCTCTGTGTTTACGCTTGACAAATCACTATGTCCTGTGGCAAAGTACCTCCGAGACATTTATCGCTATTGATTCAGCTTGATAACGCGCGGCATTGTGTCAAAAGGCAAACATATCACAACTTAAGAATTTATTGCAAAAATTTACTCGGAGTACGTCAGACCAAGCTGCAGCAGTAATCGTAGCCAGAAATAACGAAACGAGGTAGTAGCTGTATTAGATACTTCTACTGCTGTTTAGAAGTGCTTCTCTAGTGAGCACTAAAAAGCATAAAAAGAAAAGTTCTAATTCTCTTCTTTTTCTCCTAGGATTTTTATTTCCTAGATGTTACAGAGGTTACAAAAGCTCATGAAACTGGTCATGGCATCTGGTATAATGTCCACTGCGACACTTCGACTAACGTAACGTCGTTTTCCGCTAGTATAATTTATTCTCGATCCTGTCTGCGATACGTAAACACCTCGTTGTTTACGTATCGATAAGGGTATGAGTAATATGACAATGGCTTTTGTACTAGATCCACATGCCACGGGAACTGCTTACCAGAAATCTCAATAGAACAAGCAAACTACTGTTCAATTTATGATTGTTCGTCTTGTCTCTCTGTAATAAAAAAACAAAACCAATGCGGGTATAGAGCAATATAAATTTTGTGATTCGTTGGCCAAGACACCTAAAAAAAGTAGATGACTCATACTTTGTACAAAATGCATTGATTTATTTTGTCAATTATATTTATTGATTACTAATAATGTTACTATTCTCTATGAAAAATAGGTCAACGCCAGTTTTTAACCATTGTGTACACAGGTGTATATTACATTGAAATGAGCCTCAAACCACGTGTAGAAAGATCATTTATTAATCGTTTCTTATTTTTAATTAGTATTTTGTTTTATCAATAAGCAGGATGCATTTTTTAATAATTCGTATTGTTTTCTGTGCTCAGTTTATACAAATAAAATTACAACGTCTTATTGCATTCATTCCACATAAACCAAGCAAAACGTAATCCTAAGCCTACAAAGAAGACAGCTGTGCCTTATTTTACGTCCTTTAGAATGACTTTTCGATGTTACTAAAAAAAATGCCTTTTCAGCCGATAGATATAGTTACCTATCTTGAATATTTTTCAGTTGTGTAAGTATTTTTTCAGTACGGTTGTAACTTCAAACATGTTAAGAGCGTCCGTATCACGCACTCCTGCGCACCTACAAATTCCCACTAGGAATAAAAAAGTGACTCGATAATTGGGATTTCTTCCTACGGAGAGTCAGGTGTAAGTAAGTCCATCCTAACAGACAAGCAACAGTAACACGCAACGAATTGTCCTTCCATTTACCATATTAAAATTTCTTAAATGACCAACAGCGAGCGATGTATATTTTTTTTTCCTTTTATCATATATAATAACGCATCTCGAGTAACATGAGATCGACAGAATCAACAATTACAACCCATAAAAACTAATTATACACAGGTTCACTACGACCCTGTCTTGTCTCTTCACCTAAGGACAGCTCCCTTACGTTGCCCTAGAGGGTAGCGCTAGAAAACAACAGCCATCTTAACGGGGCCGTAGAGCATTTCTCACTGGCCACACAAATACCCGCATCCACAATTGATTCAGTTTCTTTATTGTTATTGATTCAGTTCTTTCCGACTTGTCTGTCATTCATGTGCATAATAGTCATCTCGCATCCGACTCACACTCTGACAGATCGCGGTTGCATAATGCAAGCATATCCTTTGTAAATTTGCCACCATATAGTAGAAAAAGCCTGCAGAGCGTGCGTGCGTCGCCTCTATGCACACCTATACAGATAAATGTCAACTTTTTCAAATACCTTACGTTCGCAAAGTGCCCACATGGGGCTTCCTTGCCATAGAAAAAGTTTTAGAGGTTCAGAAATTTTCTTATTGCAGGGCAGTCATCAGTAAAATGCCATGACCGAAAGGCAATCGGATTTTAGTATCTCTTTTAGCTATGACTGAATCCTTTCCCGAACGACCGATGATCTCTGCAGCGTTTTGATTTGCGGATTTATTTCGCCAACCTGAGCCAGTCAAGATACGCATTTTCTCGCTTGGCCTGCCGTAATATTCTCCCGATCGCAGCCATCACTTACGACGCAGTTCCAATAGCTTGCAATCGACTATTTCGAGGTAGTTATGCGTCTGTTAATCACAGTAAATCGCCAAGAATATGCATATACCTGTCACCACTATAATACGTCATAAGCTCTTTTTCGCCCCCTATGAGTTCTACTCTGCTATGTTTACAAATGGCACAACACTGAAGACGCACTATCGTATACAGCTGTAATTATATAAATATAATAGGTAAGGTAAATTTTTTGGATGGGCTAATTCACTCGCAACTATCGAAGGGCAGCATCGAAGTTCGTTCGTCCGGTAATCGCCAACTAAGTATACTTGTTTATCTATATTTATTTGGTCATAATGCAAAAATAATACTCTCAAACAAAGTTTTGCCAGCAAACAAAAATCGATGAGAGTCACTCAACTAAGTTACCTCGTCTAGTTTCCGTCGCCAGCGCTTGGATAATTATGGAAATTAAGGATCTCAAACGTGCATGACAGGTTCATCGATTGGGGGCATGACCTTTGCAGCAAAAGTGGTTCTGAAATTAATAGAATTGGTTCTTTAAGATTCGATAGTAGCTCGACTGGATAATGGAAAATGACGACTGACCACCTCTTCTATTAAACTAGATACTGGCTCGAGTTTTGTACGAGACGCGGCACCTAAATTTCGGCGCACATCGCTAACGACGTTTAGACTCGGCTGCATGACAAGTCAAATATGTTCAAATCTCATGCAACTGCAACAACAATTGCGTTCTAAACAATGCTACGACAGCGATTTCTAGACCCCATACGGCTGAAAGCTAGCTTTTCTTTTATAGGTGTAAAAGTACGAAAACAAGAGGCTTCGCGGGCAAAATTTAAATTCACTCGCTGCGTATTAAGTAGAGGACCTATCATCATAAAGCAAACACAATAGAAAATTCAATACTAAACTCTAATCGCATCAGCTCCTGTGAGGGATAAGATCTCAGTAAGGCGAGATTTGTATCCAAAAAAAGGCCTTTGTTGCTTCAAAAAAAATCACCACTATTAGTGTTTCGTACGACATGGTATAATAGACGTGCATGCAAAACAGAAACTGAAGAAAGCATCTCAGCAATGGGTTGCCTGTTGCGCAACGATGACGCACGAAAACGCCCCAATTTAACCCAAGTCCAAAAAACTTTGTTATCGATCATTGTTCCAATTTTCATCGTCACCTCAATCACCCTCAATTCATGTGTCTTCTACTGAGTTGATGATTTTATTGCAGTGCAGCTTGCGGTGCCGACAGCATTAGTTATAAAGTAGTCTATGTATATATGGACTAGAAAAAAAACATGGCATTAGTGACTACAACAACGCTATGACAGATAGTGGTATGAACACCTTGTTACTGACAAATATACGCCAATACGCGGGATTCGATTTCGCAGGAAAAAAACGTATCGTATTGTACTTCACCGTAAGCGACGCCAACGTCGTTGTATTCGTATCGATAGTTGTCATTGCACCATCTAATAGGGAAGTGGTTGTATAAGAGAAGATCGATTTTACTCATCATTGCACAGGCAACGATACTGTTGTTTCTACTAATCGGTGTGTGCAGCTTTTACATATGCTGAAAGGTGCCGATGGTTATTACGTAACATCAACTGTATTTATTTCTAATGAATAAGTATGTGTACTGGTTATCACTCACATGTTGGTCTATTCGGTGCGTAATTCACTCACATACGAAAACTCTGAACGAAGAACTAGTGAAGACCACTTTAGGAGTCCAGTTATTTAAGAATGACCCCATAGAACTTGGTAAGCTCAACGTGGCAATACGCTAAGATTTTCAAGTATCCATGATGTACGGCATAATCACAAGCTGTACAATTTACCACAGTTGTTGATGGAGCACCCATTCGCGTATGGCAGACACTTCCCTAAATCTTTGGATTGACCGAAAACGATCATTTTCTCTCACGCCACAACTTCTGCTTCCCGTACCGCTTCATATATCTTCAATACAATCGTATGTGGTTCTCGCTTGTTAGATGCCGTCTTTAAGAAATCTGCTTCTCCAAATACTCATTATGTACAATTAATTATTAAGGTTCTTTTTTGCAGGCCTTCCCTTATGGGCCAACAGAACAACATCTCGAGCATTAATAACTATAGTCTAGGGCGTCTATATAACCAACGTCACGTGAAATTCACACCTTATATGTTTTGAAAAGTACATCATTCTCTCTAGTCCATATAGATGGATATCCGTATCGTATAGAACATAAATGGACACGAACGTGGCTGGCTTAGGTCGCTGCCAACGAATTTACAAATAGTACATTACAAATACAGTCACCTAAGTCTCACCCATTCATCTCTTCGTTTGAATGCGACTACATTTCAGAGCAAGATGGCGCGTAATACTTGTACGCGTGTTACTAGTACTCGTTGCTTGGCTGGACATGGCAATAAAACAATACAAAATCGTGATGTCAATTAGGTCTATGATGTTATCTTCATTTATTTCTCATTGACTCAAGTAGTTGTGTTAGGCAGTGCTGTGGACTACGATTCGACCAACGATGACGGCAATGTAAGAATCTTTTTTTGGAAACATACGTATCACCGGATATACGCACCCATTCAATCAGTATAAACGTTACTCTGACATGTAATGGTGAGACCGGTTTATTCGTTCTTGTTCGTAAGTGCGGGAAAATAGACGACGCAGAGGTCACTGCCGGAATCGCAAACTAACGTATTTGCATTGGCTTTCCGCAACAATCTTACGCCTGTCTCACCTCCCATTTGCACGCCCAGCTGAACTATTTGCAGTTGCTCTGCACGATGTACGTCCCACAATAGTAGCTCACCGCCGGCTGTCACTAGGACGTCATCGGAGAGAAGTTCTGCCTGGCGGCATGCGGTGTGTCGCGTATGGAGCAGATGTCCTTGCGTGCGTTCCCACACCCGGAAACTGGCTTCAAGCGCTGAACAGCTGACAACGTATAAAGCGCTTAGACATACCGAAGAGATCGCAGCTCGATGAGCTTCAACCGAATAGATACATGTGCCGGTGAGCAGGTCCCATAAACAGAGCATGCCCTGCAAACATGCCGACACCGCCTGACGTTCATCGGCGTGCAATGCCGAAATGGGTCCGGCATGTCCATGTAGCGTGTATACGCAACTCAGTCCGGCAGCCGATTCGCTATGGGTTTCGGATCTGTCGCAATAGCCGTCATCACCAACACCACCAGAAGGCGCGGTAGCAGCTGGTGTTGCTGTGTCAGACTCCACTGAAAACACTTTGACGAGACGGTCCAACGACCCCGTCAGTAAGAGTGTACCTTCTTCAGGGAAACATAACGATGTCACTGCCTGACTGTGGGCCTTGAGAGAGCCGCATGGTGTCAAGTATGCACCGCTACAACTCGGGACTCTATGCTTTGCCGGCGCTTGATGGTCTGAATTCTGTGTCTCAATTGAAAACGCCATTAGTTGACCAGACATTGATGCAGCCGCTATGAAACGTCCTTGTGCGGCTAAGGCCACGATTGGACTCTCACATTCTCTATATGAATGCTGCTGTCCTTCTAACGTATGCCACAATTCAAGTCGGCCCTTCCCTTCGGCCCCATTCGGGTGGGCGACAACAGATAGGACGAGAAAGTTTCCACAGCAGGCCATTGCCCATACGGAACCCCCAATGTTAGCCCACATCTCGTCTTTTGAATCATCGTGATCCATCCGACTATGATTTGTCTCCGGCGACCTCCGAATCACTTTGAGACATTCGCCCGTAGCGACATCCCATACGCGCAATTCGCCATCAAGACTAGCCGAAATGATATCATTGCGCATTACGGAACATTCGATATGGCCGATCGGCAAGCGGTGTCCGCTCAGGCGGATGGGAAATGTTTCATGGCAAAGGGGTCCTGGAGGCTTGACGTCGTCGGGTGGTATCATGGCGCCTTCGAGGCCACGCGTCCTCCACTGCGAGCGCCACTGCGCGTAATTTCTCGAGCAGACGCATCGGTACAGGGTTGCCAAAAGATAAACAATGAATAACGTTGTTGGTATCGTCAACAAAATGAAAAGCGGACGCGCAAGAACCTCCAGCGACTCGTTTGGTTCGGGCAGGAGCGACCAGTCTGGATAAAACTGTAGGATGTACACACAGAACATATGGCAAATATAGTTATAGGCGAACATATTCTACATTATTTGAAAACACGCCTTAAAAGACAAGAAAACATTGCGTTAGGGTTTATAATAATATCAACTTGGTTTTTACCTTATGTTATCTCTCCACTTCTAATTCGGGCATTACATATCGTTGCTTACCTGGAATGACGCGTCTTCGGGGTGGCGAAACTTCACAGCCTCGGAGTGGGGAATGGGTATAGCCACATGGATCTCGGGCAGAACCGTCACATATCGACCCCACAAAGACATGTTGTAAAAGCCGAACAGCGTTGTCCAATGTGATGTCGGCAATTCTGGAAACCAAAAAGACTGGTGTTAAATACATATGTCGGAGCCCGAATTTTTTTGCTAAGTAGCTGATATGTACTACGGCACGAAGAACAAGGTGAGAGGGCGATTCGATGGCGAAGTATTTTCATTATATGGCAAGAGAAGATGGAATTAATCATTGTAACGGCCTTTGCCTGAAATCATAAATATAACTGTGTATGAAGTTGAATTTACATTGTAACGAACTAAAGCTTAATAATGAAATACGAGTATAAATGCTACAAATGCTCTCGTGATAGGGCAGTGTTTGCTTATAAAGCTTAATGGAGCGATCTTAGTTCGAAACCGTGTTTTCTGAGGTAGTGCTTAACAACATTACTGAACGCAAAACTCAAAACATTAAATCAGGCAAAAATGTTTGGGTGGGAATCCAAGATTTCACCGCACTACAGCCAACAGCCTAGTCTTTCGAAGTTATAAGTCATGTTTTCATGTTGAGCATTGAATGGGCTTTTTTCTACATAAACTTACCTTTCCAAGAACTCTTCTGCTGTATCAACATTAGAATGTCTTCTTCCCCATTTTTTTTCTTGTTTACATCGCCCACAGCGGAATTCGTCGCACTGCTGCCTCGATCATCGCGTTTCGTTTTCTCGAACAGTTCCTTCGGCAGATTTAATGTCATTCGATCCTTAAGTTCCTTCACGCTTATTAGATTAAGCGTGGCCAGTGAGTCGTGGGCACTCGAGGTGAAATTATGTGCGTGCAAAGGTCGAAAGCTTTCGATGACTCCCGATCGTTGCACAAGCAAAACAATCCACAGGATTAGGATTGCCATAAGACTTCGTTGAACTACACGAAATCTTTATATACAAAAAAGGCAATGCAGCACGTTTGAGTAGCGTATAACATAAGTCTGTTTTTGCCGAAACATCTATTGCTATAGGGAATAATACATAACGTCAGTAGAAGGCTGTTTTTAGTAAGAAAAAAAATATCCACTTGAAAGTATGCACATGTACATAAATCGATAAATAATAGATTAATATGTTTCTACGAAATCTTCGTTTTGCAGAGCCTCAGAAGACACTGTATTGTGCGATGTTGATAAAAAGTTAAAATTTCTTCAAAATATTCTTTCTGACGCAAAAATGCTGGTTTCGCTAACTTGGCTAGACTTGTTGTGATCTTTCTCACGCACCTATGTTTTGAGGTATAGTTTCCTTTAATTAGATGAGTAGGTCCAGATCCTACATGTATGTGATAGCAATACCGACTGTATCGTACTATGCATAAAAATAAATGCTTAAATAAAAATGTAAAATAAATAAAGACCTATTGTTTCCCTCTAGGTTGGATTAAGTGGATCTGTACGTTTTATGAACCAACCTTGTCCAAATGTAGAGCAAACGTAGCCTCCTGGGAACCTTGTCCAATACACTGCTTTGAGTGGGTTGACCAGCGAATACGCGTGCCATCGCCTTGTTAGCTTTATTTCGATGCCGGATAGTACCTGGGTGGCCTGGTCGAGGATAGCCAACAAGCGCACCGCCTTCGTCGTCCTTTTCCTTGCGCTGAAGGTCGAGTGACAACAGCGTCGCGAAGAAAAAATGCTGAAGGACGAAGTCGCACGCAACGCCGATCAAAGAGTACAGGCAGAATTCCTGTACGACGGGCACGAATGTAAAGAACGCCATTGTCAACAAGGATAACTCCGTCAGAAGTGTTTTCACGAGCGACCAGCCCTCGCGTGATAGGCCCCGTGCGAGATGGATTTTAGCGCCTGAAAGGCATATATGAAAATATATGAAACGTGTTAGTGGTATTATTATTGCAGCAAACATCATGGACAACGTTGCCCATCTGTTAACATCTTCTCTGAATATAAGAGCTAAGTATGCTAAATCTTTTACGTTATATATGTATATAATTTGGAATATACCTCTAATCAAGGAGCGTTTCTAAATCGGAAATTAATTAGGTGTCTCACAAATAGTCCGAATTTCCCCGTATCGATACAGGAATAATAGACACTCACCGCGAGGCTGGCAGTTCACAACAGAATTCGTAATGCAGAGCGAATTCTCTAGGCCGATTATAACAAGCAAATACGGCAGTACTTCAGAGGCTGCACATGGTGCAGCACGTGGACTGACCAACGGACTACCGTTTAATGTAGGATTCAGACGAAGCCATAGGCAAATGCCTGTAATACAGTATACAAGCCTATAACCTTTGTTTTTACAAAACGGTTTAATCAACGGCCACCTGTTAACGTTCCGACCAATAGAGCAGTTAGCCTGCTTCTTCTCATAGATTTTTTTCCATAGACATAGAAAAATAACTCCTCCTTAATGTTTTCAAACCAGCTTATTTTCAAAGATATTGTCTGTTTGGCTTGAATATGATTATCTAGTTATAATATGAGAATAAAGTTACATAGAGGATAAAAAAAGGCGTGCACAAGTTTCATTTTGAGAAAACAGATACGCTAACTCGGGTGTTGATTTGTTTATATTTCCTATGCTCATCTTCGACAACGATTGACCACCTGCACGAACATCGCAACGAGAAGCGGATTAACTACCTACCTATATAATGAAAGACGAATTGGACAAATACTTACCGATTGTCATAATTACTGATAGGAACACTGTTGCCACAGTAGCTCCAGCCAAAAGTATCTTACTCCGGAGCAGAGCCACTTTACTCAATGAGAAGTACACGTAGAACGCCATCAATAGATAGACGACAAAGAGCGGTAGAAACTCGGCTAACTGGTGCACATACCGAAAGTGTAGGTGGCTACGCTGGGCTGTATGATTGAATCTGAAAATGTTTTCGCAATTAATAAAGGATAGTAATTCATAGTTAAAATAAAACATTGTTATTTATCCAAACTGTATGATGCGTAAACAAAATGATGAGATGATAAGAAAGTTTAAACTATCTATATGTCGAAAATTTATCGTCTGTGACCACGTTAATAGCATTCAATTGTCACAATAATATTGTCCAAAAACCGTATTACATTCAAAAAAGCACCGAATGTAGACAATATTCCAAATTATCGCTTTCATTAGTTCGAAGGCTTCACCGCGACTCATTTTTAGGTTTAATAAGTTTTAAGAGGCAGTAGACACACCAACGTACCCCTTTGTTGTATCATTTCCACTCTCAGTTGTAGTCATCGACGGCTGACCAAGAGGAAACTGTTTGAGCATGGCTTCCCTAAGTGAATTGATATACCTAGCATCGTAACGTTCCAACAGCAAGGTCACAGCGTAACTCAAGACTCGTTGCCTGTTTCGTAGACAGCTTCGCTTAAGCCCGGTTTCCCGCCACGGCAGGCCGAAGAAGAGTTCCTTGGTGTCTTGCTGCCCGAACAAGCTGTCCACAATATGCGGATCCTAATAGGTCACGATACACATATGCATAATATAAATTATGAACTGAACCAGTAAATTTATCATCTCTTAACACATCAAATTCTTAAAAGTTAGGACTGCATCTTGTACGTACCACCGCTATTAGTTATTATGATTATCTAGTGAACAAAAAAAAATATTATCATTATTACGCTTTCATTCTACCACAATAAGGACGCTTTTAGCTAGTCATATTATAGTTCTTCAGGGCAGACACAGAACCTAACTTCTGCAGTGACACCTATTCGACGTTGACGGGCACCCGACTCGACCTGCCCATATCTATCAGGGGACTGTGGCCAGATTATCCTCATAGCAATACGAGGACAGAGTCAATACACTGACTAAGATCGACGTCTTGACGTTGTTTTCCGATCGCTGCGTGGTACGGAGGCGATCGACCTACTTTGACTCTGGCGGAAGCATCTAGTTTGTGTACTGTGCATCTAACCTGAAGGAAGCGTTGTGGATCCCTATGCCAAATGAGCGCAGGTGAAACTACCAAGCACGAATATTGCGGCAGGAGGCCGGATGAACCAGACGAACTTTCCTGAACCTGCAAATGATTTTATCGGGAACAATTATGCGTAATTAGAAGTATTAAAAATAACAGTTATACTAGTCACATCGATAAAATGGCCAGGTTTCGCCGTCATCGGATCGTTTTTTTGACGTCTGTCTCTGTTACCTTATCTTGGCTGGCTTTATGTCGAAAAAATTATAAAACTTCCCCCGAGAACTTGTCATCCTAAATTGCAGCGAATTCCAATCTCGTCCCTCTGATGCAGTATTCGTTTTCATATAAAGACTATGTCTGTTACCTGTAGACATAAGTCGTGTAGAGAAATCTTTCGTCTTGTGTTATTTGAGATGTCTTCGTATTGATGATTGGTAACCTGAAAATTTCCAAAGATGAATTTTTTGCGTAACTAAATTCTGAAGGCTTTAGGCAGGGGAGAAATCGTGAGTAATAGAATATTTCTATTTTTCCAGTGATGCGGGAGTCACTGGCTGTCGCTAGGGCGGTACAGGTTTGTATTTGCTTACCGTTCTGAGCAAAAATCGTTTCGAAAGTTGTTTCTCTTTGCATAAAAAGTTGTTTGTGTAATGAGGTCTTTGTAAGGCAGGGTATTGCAATCAATACTGCATGACGCAATGGAAATTCTTCTTGTAGCTCTTCTTTGGTACTCACCAATTCGGATACCTTGAACGATGTGTACAGAGGGCCTCGAAAGGCGTCCAACAATTGAGTCTCTTGCGAATCCCAAGGTATCACGGCGCTGCGAACAATTATCTGAAGTGTTTAATACCGACATTAAGCGATTTAAGAGACAATCTCAATTGTTTGTATACGAATATTGTTATAAGACGGTTGTTAAAATTATCTCTATAAACATTTCTATACAAAAACAAACAACCTTAAGTTACCACAAAAGAGCAGATCTGATGCCATTTAAAAACAAATTTCGAGTCTGATTAAAAACGAAATTACATATGAGACCACCTACAGGGTGATCAAAGAATTGGTTGGCCACCAGCTTTTTAAAATTTAAATGAGAAGCGCATCTGATTCTTCGTTAATTCTAAATGTTTATTGTATATTTTTCATGAATAAACTAGGCACTTTATAGCGTGCTTCGGCGGACTGTCGCCAAATAACTAAATAGACGCAATGAACGCCTAAAGAAAAACAGAATACGTTCCTCAAAGACATTTGATTATTCTATAGCACGAAATGTCCATTGCTCAAACTGTTTATACTGAATATCATCCACTCTCTAGGTAAACTGAATAAATAAATGCTATCGACTAAGCCCTTAAACTGCCACATGAGAAGATCTTCCAAGTAATATCATTTTCGAATTTCAACCTATACATACGAACCGACATAACCGTAGTATGTTTGTTCAGTACAAATAGTAAGCTTTAGCTTAGCTATAAAGGCTCTATTGTGAAATATTAAAAGTCTATATTTATTTAAAAATTAATGTTTCGAACTTTGGGTCGTGTTCCATCTTTTAAACATACTTGAAACGGATTGCGTTTCTTTCAATAGAAAGCTTACTGAATACCTCTAACTTTAATAGGCAAGCGCGTTGCCGCTACGCTATCACTGTGTAAAGACGGTTAAATTTACTGGTAGTTACTAACAGTTACTTATATGCTTAACTTACCTGTTGCACATAAGCTATCGGAAGCCCATGGAACCAGTCCGGAGGTGACACGCCCTCACCTTCCCGAAAGTGGTGTCCACCACTGCCTAACGTACTGAGCCGCCATAGCGGGTAGGCACAGGCAGCGACCAGAATCGCTGATAAGGCCAGCATCTGTCGCGGGTGGGAAGCGCAGCGCAAACCGTGTCGATAGTAAAGCTGCGAAACACGCCATACTGGGCCAGTATTTCCGCCAAAGCTGCCGCCCCCACTAGGGCCTGATCCAGTTCCATCCGGCATCGTTTCGGAATCTTATTTGCTTTCTTCGGAAGCTCGAGTTGAGCTCCAGAAGATGTTCTCACCGATGCTTGGTTATTGATAGAAAAGAGACCCAACAGCTAAGAGTTCGATTGTGGGGGCCAGCCAACGGCTTCATGCCGCGACAAGGCCCCGGGAGATCGAAGAAATGCCCTATCTTGTCTCTTCCTTAATTTTCTGTATTCAAAGAGGCAAACTGCAGCGATAGGAGGAGGGATGGGTACGCACTTTCTTGACTGGACACACTAATAGGAAGCTATCAAGCTGACGGTGGGGTGAAGATCCATATCGCTAAGTCGACTCATCTTGGTAATAGCTGTTGACCACGCCTATATAAACAACAACGTACCTACCAAAACAAACAGTTCAATAGTGAAAAAAATACTAACAGTAGAGTACAATATATATATATATATATAGTATTTCTGCTGAAAAAAATGCTTGTACAAATCTATTATAAGTCGTCATATAATTAAAGTGAGTTCCAGTGGGTTTTATGGAAACGGAGATTGAAAACAACAGCCGCGACGACTCGAAAATTTAAACCCAAGGTTCATGGTTAGCTATAAAAACCTTATAAATTCGCCTAACAAAAGCCAACAAAAACTACCAAATCAAAACTATTCTATCTCGTACTCAGTGCCATGTCGGATGCATGTGCTCCGGTAAACTGGTTGTTTATTTAGACATTATCCGATATTCGCGCTTCCATTTGCTCCATTCACATATTTTCTAAACGCCAAAAGCAAAGAAGTAGCAGATTCATTATAGGTCACCATTGTCTCTTCATTGTCTGTAAGATCGGTAATCCTGATTTGCCGACTCTGCCTGCCGCAGAGTTTGTGCCACAGCATATAACTGATACACAATAAGCGGCATCTGCGCTGAACCAGTTTGGCATGTGTGACTATAGCCAACCTTGTTGCGGATGCCGGTTGATAGAGTTCTTTCTATCACTGCGATCAATTTCGCGAGCCTTACGGGGAAATAGAGCTAGACATGGAAAGGCAGTCATTCTTCACAAAAACTAGATCGTACCGATCCAGTGAGGGCCCGAGATTTAACGGACCACAAAACAACAGCATAAGTGATTTAAGACCAACGTACCATAGGTAGAGTACTTGGTTCAACAAAGAAGTTCGACTTGCTTCTTTCAGGAGAAAGGCCAAAAAAAGTCTGAAATTTCCCTGTTTTTCTTTTTTCATGGAATGACAGAAACGCCCATTTTTGAAAAAAAAGTGGCATTCGCTTTGAGGTGTTCAAAAATTCGAAGCAACTTAAATCATCTCACAGTCACTCTGAAAACATGCTCCTTTAAATTTGATTAAGAGTGATCATGATTCAAGCGATATTCAGGATTCGTGAAGTGTCGATCGAGTATACCACGCACAATATATTCCGACCTAGGCTGTTAAATTGCGTCAGCAGAAGGTTCAAATGATCAGAAATCTTGTGTTGGACCTGAGGACGGTTTGTCCTACATCCGTTTTATGAAAAGATCCGTAGGAAATATACGGTATTAATCCTCGTTTTTGCTACCGTTTTTACAGTACCTTACTATACCCTGCTTTTTTTTATGTAAGGGGCTTCGCCTTTACGAAAACCGTGTACATACGGCATCATTTCGGTAGTTCTTATTTTCTGGGACACGTTCATAGATTAAGAGTTGTCTCTATTAGTAATAAAATAAATTGAAGTTAATAATAAAATTACTAAACTAATAGTTAACTGAATATTAAAGAAGCCAGCGACCCTTTCTAAAAAGGGTGTTTACATCACCAGTAAAGACTTTCTCGCCCTAACGAGATTAAAGACGCCCGATTTTAGTCCATGTTGATTGAAATTGCTTCCGAAAATAAACGATCTTCTCAGATTTGGTGACATCCTAAATAGACTTAGGGTGTTGTTAATTAGGCATCATTCGAATCTTTAAAAAATCATTTTTACTTTTCGAATCGAGATGCCACTATAACTGGGTATTCTTCACTTTCGAGTTATTTCGTTATTATTACAAATTTTACATTAACATATGAAAATCTGGACTCTTCTGAAGCCGTATAGAGACCGATAAGAGCGTAGATCATCGATTTTGGGTACCAACAGAAATATACAGTATCGGTGGAATTTAGCCTAGAGTCAATGCTTGGACTATGACTGAGTTTCACTCGTAATTCGAAGCCATAGTGAGTTCGCAGTGTTATCTTGAAAAAAAATTTATTCCAGTATCGAGAATAGCGGATGACCGCTACATTCTTTACGACCAATAGATCGCAAAGCCTGGCTCAATCTAAACTATGCACTTCGTACAATAACAGTAGTGTAACCTCAGTCATTAGTCACAATGTTTTTTTTTAAAAATGAGATAAAGCTGTTGTTAAAGTCGACTAGAAGCCCTAACTGCACGCTGCAGATGATTACATCGCAGATGCATAGCCTTGACCACGTTCTTTCATCTAATAATCTCGGGTGTCACTGCATTGGCGGATAACGCGAAATATTCTGGTACATATCGTTAAGGCCAATTGTTATAAGGCGATGCAGTTCTACTGGGTCAGTAACAAGCGGCATCATTCATGCTCTAAACTGACGCATTAAAAACACCACTTTGAAAGTAGTGGTTTTATTTCTGTTACTAGCACCTACCAGATCATTCATTAGTTCAGTGAAAACGTCTCCGAAACATCTCTGCTATAATAATACCTGAATGACATAGTTCGAAACCATGTGTACTTAGCTTCCATTAAACTGTAAGCTAACATGTGGCGGCTCATAACTAGCCCTAACAGTGCTTTAACAGTAGGATTACAATTTCCCAATTCCTGATCCATAAACGCATCCAGTGATGTCCGATGCTACATCACTATTGGGGCCTTATAACCATAATATTTCACCGTTGGTTTGGCGAGTCTTCAGAGTACAGAGTGAACTTTATACTGTACACGTATGCCTAGCCTGACGTTACGCCAGAACAGCTGACTTAAACAAGATGCACTACGTAACAGAGGTTAGCGGCTCAGTCTTAATTTTACTTCAGTAGGTGACAGACACAATATTGTTCAGTCTTGGATGTTCGCGTACGTTGTTGGCGACCGATGCTATTCAACGGGCGGTCCGGCTACCTGGATATAGACGGCATCAAAAACGCATGCTTTGAATAGATCGCCTAACACGACCCATGAGTAAAACACGCTGTAGAACTGTACACCCGAAAGAAGAGAAGATATGTTGCCATTATTATTTTCCCTTATTTTGTTCTGATAGTAGGGTCATCAGTAGGAATGAATTACAAAGACAATGTACATGTGCAAAATGATATGTTTATAACGGTTTGAAGAAGATGTTCATTAAAAACTGGTCCTATCTTAGAATGGCAACTCTACTCGGTATAATACCTTTTGTTCGACCCGACGTTTATCTTAGTCATGTTTTGATTCATAGTTCAATAATTGTTCTTATTGAAAATGACCAGCTACAAGTACTTTCCCCATGGGAAAAATTGGAAACACTAGAAGGCAATACTAAATGCAGCTGACAAGGATGCAATCTGGAATTGCCCTCTTTTTATTGTCATCTGTGAATTGCCTCTAGAACAATGACAAACTTCCAGTCAACCAATTAACTGCTTTCGCTCCTTGATTTTAAAACAAATGGCTTGACAATGTAAGAATCGGCATTTGAAGTGGCCTGAATCCCGGTCCTTGATGACTTAACTTCATTATACAAAGATCAGCCCCGTGTGCGACAACATACATCTGAACAATTCCCTATTCAGGGTTGCATGCACCTAGACAATCAAAATGTTGGTTAACGGAAACAGTTCATAGAGATATACACCCAGCTTCTAGTAAATTTAGTGACCTCTTAATATATCGAAGTCTTAGCGGAAAGTTGATGAGGTTTTTCAGTATAGCCGTCGGAAAATATCCTTTTTATGCCAGTCCCCCTATGATGAAAAAAAATCTTTGACTACCCAGTCATGAAGGTAAAGCCAACGTGATTGAGTAACACCGAGGTAGTCCTTGACACATCCGGTTTGAAAGAATGAGTTGCAGCTGAACACCTGCATCTACAACGTTAACGCTCATAACAGTCCCGCTTATTAAAAGCGAATGTGCAACACGCGTATGTCATACACGTGTTGATGCCTGATAACTAAATCTTTACATCGAATCGTCGAGTTTCAGCTAACGAATGAATAGGGTTTGTCACGGCCGAAATACATATGAAGAGCGCTTTGACCAGCGAAGCGTCCACCTTAGTATTTCTATAGGGTAAAATGTTGGCGGTAAGGTCGTCAAATGTTACCATAGATCGTTACAACATCAGTGAGTGGATACCTATTTCTGTTAATACTTGATCACTCCTTTTTGCATAATTGTATAATACAAAACGTCAGGTAGACAGCCATCAATTTTAGTCAAGTTTTAATTATCACCCTAGAGTGTTCATAAGTAAATTATCATAGCCGTAGTATAGCCATAAGTACAACTGGACACAGCCATAGATTAAATGGAACGGTCTAAGGCTGTTCCAGCAACACGCGAACAAGCTAGGATACTTTTAATCGGATGCAAGGGTTAATCTCTTGTTCAACCGATTACCTGTTAGAAAAACCTGTGCTATAACCATAGGCCGATTTTGATCAGCCTCCACGATACAATTTTATTATAATGAAAAGATCTGTGGGTAACCTTTGGAAACATGTTAGTGCTGAGTTATCGAGCAGGGCTCACATGATTATCATAAGCAACGAAAAAAAATGTTTTACATTTAGTGGGATAACTTATTACAGAATATAATCAATAGAAGCCATTCTGACAGGAATTTCTAGTGAGTTCGACCGTAGAAAATTCGCTAGCATAACTTCAAACGAAAGACCTTTCATTTTCGTTTTACGCGATTGCATGGGAAACAGGACGCCTAAAACTTCTGATTAAATTTCCAGCGGTTTCTATGTGAAGTGTTATTTCTTCACACAATAATATACTACGGGTTTCTTCTTAGACAGAAAAACTTGTGCCGAGCAAAACCATCGTTGTGTGGCCATAAATATGAAAAGTATTTCGAATGTAAACGAATCTTTATCTGAGGTCCGTGAAGCTTGCTTTTCCACTTTGTTTACGGTCTCTTAGGTATGACATAATAAGGCGACTTACGCTAATTAATTTCATTTTGCAGTCTCGGTTAACTGGGTGCCCAATGTACGAGACATGTGACACGAGCAACTACTAACTAAGGCTAACCGGTATCTTAGAAGATAAAACGATAAAAAAAAACCGTACGTTTACATTATGTATGCTTAAATTCGTATATCATGGCATCGACTACTTACGCACGTATGACCTCCGCGACGACCAGATGTTCCGTGCCAGCGCTTCGCACGCTGAACCCATTCAGCCAAGTAGTAGGTCAGCGGCAATTGACACACAAGAGCGGGTCAACATCAATCCTGTCGTTCTTCTTCCAACAAAGCAAAAGCTTTACATGGCTAGCTCTTTTCGTTTGCACATTTTTTCATTCGAATCGGATTCAGTAAACAGCTGGAATACCTACACGAGCTCCAATAAAGCAAAGGTGACTTATGATATTGCGTTGCACGGAATCGACCCAAAACTGCTTTGATAAAGTGCTTCTGAAACAGTGACCTTGATAACGGAAACAGCAGCAGGGAAGCCTTAAAGGCTAATGTATATATTCTTTTATCGTCCAACTTACCCTTCTGCTTTAAATGCTGTACATTTCGAACTCCAAACATGGAAGAACCAATTGAGTGTGCCTTGCCGCTTACCCCACCGGGGCTCAGGTCTTACTTTTGACAACAGCCAATACTTTGTACGGAACTTGCGACGTTATCGGCAATCAGTAGTGGAATAAGCTTATTTGTAACATAACAAAACGAGGCTTCTTCCGAGGTCGACATTTTGAAGTCAAGTTCTTTGTAGCTAACACTATGCATAATACGAGCTACTAGCGACTGAGTACTGTTTGCTGTTTTGTTAGCACAGAGCATTAGAAAAACGAGTAGTAATTGCTAATTACAGGCAGCACTTCCGTTAAAATTTTCTATGAAATAAAGGAAACAGGACATATTAGAGACATTCACTGAAGGCCACAATGCAGACGATCGTCTGCTACAGGTCGCTTCATGCTCTTGCCTAGCAGCCAAGTTTACTGTAAGAATTGCAATAGAGTCATATAAAAAACCGCCGCTTGCTACGATCAAAATTGGACGACACCGCCACAAACCAAAGTGTTGTTGATCTCGACCTTTTTTTTGCAATTATCGGCTAGTAATTTATTCTATTGTTGTAATTCTAGCGCTCTTCAGTAGCAGTGAATTAGTAAATAGGCATATTTTTAATCATCTTGTAACCTTACCGAATTTTAAGTATGTATATATAAGTATTTTAAGTAAGTGTATACTATGGACCATTCCACAGCAGCTAATGCACATATTTTCAATTGTTTTTTAGAATCTATCTGAAGAATTGCCTAAAAAAATAAAGCGAAATAAGAGAATTAAAAAAAATATATTAAGTTAACTTGCTAGTTATATAGATGACAAGTGAGAAACAGTTTTGATTGAACTTTTAACCTAGATTAATAGCAAAGTAAAACACACCAAACCCAAGCGGTCTGCACCTAACTGTTAGCAAACTTAAGATACAACAAGTTACTAAGTATGAGCTGTCCCCGGTACAGACGAGAAAGCGCTTCAGCAATTTCTCAATAGACTTCGGTGAACGGGTTACTTAGTGATTAAATGTGTAAGAATATAATTTGTCCACTTCGGCTGTACGGTTACAATTTGGGCTCATGGTTTCGTACTCTTTCTATCGTTTTTCGTGAAGTAGCACGGATGAAGTGAAACTATCACTTCATTACCAGAGATGAATCAAAGACGAAAACTCCTGGTATTAGAGTGCGCTAGCATATATTTCTCTAAGCCACAGTTTTGTCTGGATGTCTGCTACCACTAGTACTCCTTTCCTCCACATGATTCCATTCCGAGATCATGCTGTTTATATGATGCCACTTCGTTACATTCTTTTTTTATACATGAATTATACAGGAACGTATCAAAATATTACTAGGCATCCGTATACTGTCAGATACGAGATAGCTAAAATAGCAAAACATTGGCTAAAACGGTTCTGTTTTCTGTTACAAGCGAAGATCGCCAAGACCACTCGCAAAGAGCTGAAGGACACATCCTTTCACATTACTCAACCAGCTGTCATCTAGCAGATTTGTATAGAAACTAGCTCTTATTAAATAACTGCTTCTCATCCTGTGAAACTTTGTCGTCAATATATATTTTGCTGCATGTTTTGTACAACAGGCCGAATGAGCGTTCCCTCTACAGGCACGCCAACTACAGGAATGATAATCTGATAAAAGGAATATTAGTAAATTACAACGAACTAGCTGTGCACGCTTAGAGAATCAATTATAAATGTGATAGTGTTTAAGTTTAAACAAGCACATTTTCAAGTGTTCAACGAATCATCAGCATATTTTATCTATCAGTTGCGTCAAACTTATGGCAAAAATATGACAGAACATTTAGGTATCTTTATTCACAAGTAAAATATTGATTCGCTTAGGCAGATCTGTGAATGTTTAGCAGCAGAATAAAAGTTTTGTATAAAAAAAATTAATGAACCTTTTACAACAACAGACGTAACTGACAAGTTATGTCTAGCGATATGCATGTGTGTGTACTTGTAAATTACAGCCGAATGCAAATCTTTGCTCTATAAACAGTGATATACTGATGGTTATCATTCCTGCCATACTTATCACACAGAGATAAACAAAATTGACTCTCCTTCACTTCCTTGCTTATCTGTCTTTAATCGATAACGCTAAATCCTACGAGTGTTCAATTGAACTTCGTTGATACACCGTTCAAACACCAACGGTGGCGCTGGTGCTTCATGTTCAAGGCAATAACTTGTCGATGTCTTATTCGCTTAGTTTTATCGGGCTTTGTTATGGCGCTTTCAGACCCATCCAACATGCACGCAGAAAACATATTGATAGCAGATACATAGCCGTTGCTTTGTTACACTCTTTTTACGCTAGAGATTTATTTTGAAATCGCCTAACGCAAAAAGATTATACATACTATCTTCTATTGCGACAATATATCGCTTAAGGGGAAATCGTTTTTAACAATAATATATTGTTGCAAAAAGGAAGCAGCCAGTGGGGACACTCCAATCTGTCATCTCGCACACGGGACAAACTGAGCGAGAGAAGCAAGTTATTTGAGTAGTTGTCAAGACATGGCAAAACGCTTCCAACCCTAAACACTCACTCGAACCGTGGAGCGCACCCAAAGGAAAACACAGTCAGCGCTATCCATGTGGGTGTTTGGAAATTTTCCGGAACAGAAAGAACAAAATAGAAATACAAATAACCACGGACGAAACACATATCCGCACCTTTACATGCGACTGTACGCCGATTAGCGCGAAGCGCCTCACTTAAGCGTGGCTGCCGATCGAGGCAGTGCGAAAATTAACACAAAGTCACGAATTAACGAAACACTCGAAGTGACGAACACATAAAAAATTAATATTAGTTTCTATAGATTACACATATGAAATCGTACGTCACACCATTTTTAAGACCCAAGAACAACAAATCATAACTAATAAAATCTTCAAACAACGGCAATCGTTGTTTATTAGCTTCCCATCTTTATATCTAATTCGCCCCTCTTCTGCAAACGCCTCTATGGAAGTTTCCAGCCCCTCTAGATAACAATGATACGTCATAATTCACCACATGTTTGTGTGCCACCTAATCGGCCACCAACAAAACGGCTCCTTAAGTTGCCTTTTCCTTTCCTTGACGATGCCTACGCTGATGGCAATGATGATGGGACATTTTTCGCGATTCCGAGAGACTTTCCATGGTTCCTGGCTGCAACACTGCTAGTTGTAGGCAATATAGATATTATGCTACTCAATCAATAATTTACAATAGCACTGGTGCTGTTGCCGCTAGTACGGCCACAATCGGGCGTCTTCGTGACGCGAAGCTGGACTAAACAAAATTCTATTATAGCCGCTGTCTGCGACGTTGACATTGTCCGTCGCGAACGTCGTCGATGATCTATACCACTTTGTTCGAACGGAAAAGCGAGTGAACGTACGAGAAAGCGATGCGATATCTCCTGCCCTTGTACTCGTTATCACGAGGCGACGCAATGCTACGGTCGCCCATTTTTTGCAAATGGGATAGTACAAGAAGACTAGACAGCTGCAAGGAGGATTGAGATAGGACAAACTAGCACTGTGCCATTTGTGCAGGCTAGGGCCTGTTGGTGAATACTGCGTCGTCAAAATGAAAACAACATTAGAAAATCAATTGCGTATAAGAAATGTTTATAAACAAA